TAATTGTGCTATTTAGCACTAATTAGCAGGTATCTGTGTCTGGAGAATGCATTCGTACATTCAATAGATTCACCTTGCTAACAAAGTCCTTCTAATAATAGCGTTTCTCGCCACTGCTGTCCCTCTGGAGAATTCTCCCACAGACTTTACTTCAGGAGTACCGCGTCTCTCTCTTAACAGAACTACTTTACTGTGATACTTCTATTTTTAACATATTGCTAAAACCAACACCTCAAACTCAAAAGAAAATGCTGAAAGTGAGTATCTTTATACCATTTAGGGTCACTGGGTTATTTAAACTTACCTAACTTTAGTTTTTAGTCTATGACAAAATATTTGAGTTAACTGAAAAAACTGAGACATTTTTTCAAACTTAGAAAATGAACTAAATTAAAAATATAGAGGACATGTCCTTAATTTTCATCTTTTGGATTTGGTTTGGTCAAATTTATCAACACAACCAGCCTGAGGAGACTTTGGTGCATGTTTAATGAGATTTAAGATATCTGCATGACAGTGAGTCAACTGCTTTCAAAAAGTGCTGTCATTATGTCGTATTATCTTTTCTGATTTTCCTAAATCTTGTCCCTGACGAAAAACCCCTGTATGATGATTTTAAAAAATATAACTAAAACTAATGAATTTTAAACAAAATCATACTAATAAAAACTAAACTGAAATGATCAAATTAAATCTGGAGTGTAAGAGAACCCACGCAGGCACAGGGAGAACATAAAAACTCAAAAGTCCACACAGAAAGCTCCCAGGAACCAATGGATTTAAACTCAGGACCTTCTTGCTATGAGATCAACATGCTTCACAGCTCAAATCTAATAAATAAATAATACAAATAAAACCTTTGATTAGTGAATATAAAATACAGTAGGTCTGGGGTTGCAAATAGGACAGATTCACACTTAAAATTCAGGTTTACAGAGTCATTTACAGTGAGAAACTCTCAAGCAAACAAATGTTTATTTTAGTGGTAACTAATCTCCAATAACTCTGCTCTTTTGGTTCTCACACATACAGACAGAAGTTGTGCTGAAAATCATAACAGCAAGTAAAAATCATGCTTACTTGTAGACAGACTTATCTTCTGACCAAATAAATGTTTGGATCTCTATGCTCACTTTACAGTGCATTGAGTGTGTTTCACTAAAACAATAGCTGTTTTCTCTGTTGGTATAAAAGGCCACTGTTTGTCTCCTTCTTCTTTCCGATTCCACTTCCGTGGTGGCACAAGAAATTTCAGCACCAATTTGTGACAGCCAGAGCATGCACTTGTTTATGTGTGCGTGCGTCTGTGTTTGTGCCAGTAAACACGCCGGTTCCACTTTGATACCCTCCTATTAATAGACTATATGAAATTTGTCTACACTGAAGCAACCAGAAGGTGAGGATGTTACACAGCAAGTGACAGGGGGCACATCTTGTGGACCAGTGGGTGTGAATAACACATCAACCTCATAAACGGCCAGCTGCATGAATCATAGTGGTGTGAATCAACAAACACAAAGATAACAGCAGGCCACATGGATTGAATGTCAGGACCCAGACATGTCTAAGACTCTTAGCATCCACAAGGTAATACACAAACACCATCATAAATCCCAAACTGCAAGACATGAACACATCAACATGTCCTCCTATTGACTTTGACTTTGGTTTACACAGTGTCTACAGTCTAACAGGATCCACAGTGTTATTTACACAGGTATCAGCTATCACCACAGGAAGATGGGGCCAATCCACACACAATTTTTCTAGGCTCTTTTCTTTACTGCAGCCTACCTGACCACTACTTAGTCTTTAAAACAGCACCTTCTTTAACACTGAAAAAGAAGTTAAAAAAGCAATATCTTGGTATTTATAGTGGGAACGAATTCCAAAAATATGACAGATTTAGCCATATGAGCATGTAATGTTCCCATTTCTGTTTTTAGGAAATATATTCTATCCAAGAGCTTAGGTGGCATATCATAATTGTCCTGTTTGCATTAACAAAACTGGAGAAATGCCTTAAAACTAAGGCAAAGATTATCACAATAATTCTCTACTATGAAATTAGTAATTTGGTGTCAGATTGATGTCTGCTCCAAAGAAGAGCAAGAATTGACATGCACCTCGGATTACCTGTTTGATTAACAAATTAATTTTAAAAAGTAGGCCCATTCAATTTCACTAATAAAACTAAAAGTTGTACAACTGCTGTTTAAGGGCACTTGAGTGGAAGAGTGAATACTTTAAACATAATGTGTACTCAATCCAAACTATAAAAACTAAAAAAAATTGTCTCCCATTCAATTAGAAATAAAATAATGGATACTGAAAGTGTCAAATGAAATGATTCAAAAGAGACACTTGGCTTAGGCCGCAGTCACACGGGCCCACACCCAATCATCTGGCCACCACAGGTCACTATGGAAAAATGTATATTTCCTGACCAATTGCTGAATGGTTGCTGGTGAAACTGGTTACAAAGAGGTATACATTGCTGTACTGAAACCCTCCTTGCAGATGCTTTGGTTGCTGGCAAACTGCTGCAGCTGAGCATGGTTTGCGTGGAAGACCCTGACTTGTCTGCAAAGACTTGCCTACTACAGTAAAGCGTAAAACTGAGAATGTTTGCTTTCAAAGTCAAAGCTGAGCTTTCTGGAATGTTTTGACTCAGAACCTTTGCTCTGAAGACCAACATTCTCCGTTTCCAGTTTTACTACCACTTATTGTTGCTTGGTTATCTAAGGAGCTTGGAAAGAAAGCAACTAGACTTTGTTAAGTTTCTTGAAGACGTTTCACCTCTCATCCCAGAAGCTTCTTCAAAACCAAATGGTGGAGAGTCCCAGGTATTTAAACCCTAGTGGGAGTTGCCCCTTAAGAGGGTCATTGACCTAGTATTGATCATTATCAGCAGAGGTTTCAGGTGAAACCACTGTCAGACCTTGCCTCACCCTGTCACGTGACATATTGTGATCACCTGATGCAAGACATGAGTGGGCGTTAAGGTAAAACTGCATTGTAGGTGGCAGACAGTTGGTGTGGTAAGCCACCTCCTCTGTTCAAGGATGGTTATTCAAAGTAGACAGCTTCTTTCACTCCTCTTTCAACCAATCAGCCTTCTCTGTCTCTATTCTATACAGTTCTCTTCTAAAATTGCTGAGTCTTTTCCTATCGAGATGGCTCTTCCATGTTGTGCCATGGGTTTATAGAGTGGCTGTTTGGTTTCCCCAAGTAAGCCAAGAAGGATAACAGCAGCTCTATGATAAAATTGTATGAACCAACAAAACATCTCCATCAAAGTTATGAAAAGAGGAAAATGCAGAACTTATAAACCAAAGCTTGCCAACGTGGTTATATATGGCTGCTAACAGCGCTCTCACACTGGCATTTATTGATGATTTCACTGCTGATGGAAGCAACCAGATGAATGCAGAGGTATACAAAAGCAGTCTGTGTTCTCAGACACAAAGCGTCTGATGACGACTATATGCCCGAGACTTCAAGCAGTCGTTGACTGAAAAGCATTTGCCGCAAACCGTTAAGTATGAGAATTTTGTCTGACTTGATGAGTTTCACTCTGATTACTTTTAAACACCTAAACTTTAATAACTGATTTAAAAGGTCTTCATCTACCACACAGTCCTTTCTGTATTATTAAACCTAAATTGGAAATTTGAATGCAGTGTCCAATATTTCTATTTTAAATTGAAGGTGCTAAAACAAAGTGGCTAAACACAATTCCTAATTTAAAGCATAAGGTAAAACAAAAATTAATATGCAGACAGACTTGCTTTCAAAACTGTCAATATAATGAATAACACTGGTTGGTCTGTACTCTGCTGTAGACTATGTGTGTTTGAGAAAATATGAAACTGGATAAACTAACCAAGTTGTATAATTTAAAAAGCATTAAATGTCAAGGTTTCTTGCAAAATCTTGTGCAAAACATCCTACTTTTCCCACTTAGAACCCAAAGGCATCGATAAATTAAAAGCTGATAAAGGCAAAATAACAGTTACTGGAAGAAACTAATTTCACCCTCAACATAAAAATAAACATGAATAGTTCAAAAAAAGAATCAGGAAACAGCTCGGTGCACCTGACTGGATATCTTGATTAACTAGCAGCACGGAAACATCCCATGACAATTAAACCCTCTTTAACTGTTTCCAAGATTCTTGAAGGCTTTTAAATCTGAGACTATTTTTCTCCTAAGGAACAGCAGATGCCCCACAAACAGGCCATTGCCAACAGGGCCAGCAAACTGCTTTGATGATGATGATGATGCAAGAGAGGGAGCAGGAGGGGCGTACAGCAGGGGTAAATTACCTGATGGTGGGTTGGTCGAGGGCCCGTAGCAAACTGGTGGGGGAGGGAGGAGAGGTCCAGCAAGGAGATTGAAGCAGTGATGGCAAAGCGGGGAGAAGAGAGAGCATAAGAGAGACACAGATACAGTATAAGATGAGCAATGGAAGCCGACGCTTGGAAGTACAACACAAAACCACAGAGCTACAAAGCTTTAGAGACACATGGCACATGATGCAACACTAGTTCTCAGTCACAGCATGCATTTGCAAATAATAGCTTGCAATTTTTACTTGTAACTACCACATTGAATATAACAGATTTTAAGGCCAGGGAAGACACTGTGAGTAAATGTCAAATGCAGAAAAGATAAATTTGATTGTATAAGGCATACTGCAGTGAAATAAAGTGGCTTAAGTGGCAGAATTTAAAACAAGGCTTACTGGACACTGACTTATTTTCTGTTAGCTATGCTCTTCTGATACAGAAAGACTTACAAACAAGGTAAATGAGACAATATTATACTGAAATATTTTCTTCTAGGCTTTTTGTGGTAAGATTTTTTTTTTTTTAAAGATCATTCCTGCTTTAAAGGTTTTCTTTCAACTACACTGAACATTTCAGGCATTTAAATTCCAGGCAAAGAAGCAAAACCACCAGCAAAACAAAAAAAACCTGCTTGGTAGTTAATATCAAGCTTAAAGTGGACCTATGATGGTTTTCTGTTTTTTTTCCCCCGATTCAAAAAAAGTTGGAACGATTTCTAAAATAAAAAGAACAATTGCAGTTACTTGCAAATAGAGATTGCAATCTAGAAGTTCAGTTCCTTGGAATTGTTCATCTGCCTGCCTAACAATCCTGGTTATCTGTTCCACTGACGTCTGATGCATTTACATTACGATGTCATGTACACGCTCCATATTTTGGTTTGGAAAGTATCCAAGGTGGCATCAAGAGAAGCGCTTAAAATAATTTAAAAAAAAAGGACGCGAGGGCCAGTTGCAACACAAGCAGAGCTTTGATCACAACAAAGGGGGGAAATACCTCCAACATGCTCAAACATTTGACCACAAAGCTAAATTCATATCATGTCCCATCCCGACTTGCAAACCACATACACCTGTATTTTATTCACAATACAATATAGAAAACATATCAAATGTTTAAGGTGGGAAAATTTAACTTTTAACAAGCAAATTTTAGCTTATTTTGAATTTGATGGCAGCAACACGTCTCAAAAATGTTGGGACTTGTTTTTACAACCACCTGTAAACGTCTGGAAACTGTGGAGAGTAGTTGCTAGAGTTTTGACAGGACAATGTCACCCTACTCTACAGATCCTAGCTGCTCAACAGTTCTGGGTCTTCTTTGTCTTATTTTTTCATTTCATGATGCTCCAAATGTTTTCAGATATTTAAAGGTCTAGACTGCATGGAGGGCAGTTCAGCAATCAGACTCTTCTACTACAAAGCCTTGAGCATTGTCTTGCTGAAAAATGCAAGGGCTTTGCTGAAAAAGACATCATCTAGATCAGCGGTCCCCAACCTTTTTTGCACCACGGACCGGTTTATGCCCGACAATATTTTCATGGACCGGCCTTTAAGGTGTTGCGGATAAATACAACAAAATAAAACTAGTACTGGTACCGAAAAAAAGACGATTTATTCATAACACACATGAAAAGACCAAGGAAAACCGAGTAAACAATAAAAACGATAACAAAATAACGCTGAAAACCGTTAAAAACCCTGAAAACTATACATTTCACACCTGAGCCTCAACTCTCGCGGCCCGGTACCAAACGACTCAAGGACCAGTACCGGTCCGAGGCCCGGGGGTTGGGGACCGCTGATCTAGATGACAGCAGATATTTCTCTGATGCCTTTCCAAATGTGCGAGCTTCAAATTCTATAGGCACTAATGCAAATTTTGATTTCTGATTGCAAACAATTTTCCGCTTTAGCTCTAGCGGTTTCTTTTATGTACCACTTGCTTTTTTAGCCAAGTTATTTGAAATGTGTTGCTGCTAAAATTTGTCATCAAACTCTAAAATCTCAGTTTAAACATTTGATATGATTTCTATTTTCTTTTGTAAATCAAATATGGGTTTTGAGATTTGCAAATCATTGTGCTCTGTTTTTAAATGTAAATAAATTCCAACTTTTTTGGAATTGGAGTTTGTGTATATATTCTTACAGTGTTGGATGTTCACATTAAACATGTCATAGTTGTTAATGAGGTAAGCATATCCATAAGTAATCCCTATGAGAGAAAAACAGAACCCATATGCTTTTTAAATCTTCTGTCTGTGAGATGCAGCCAATCAGATGAAATTTAGCTTAAAAGGAGGTTGACCTTAAAGGGAAAGGAGGTGAAATCATTCATTTCAGTCAGAACTATGGGACCCAGTATAAGTCAAGTAATCGTTTTTATGCAAAGCCATTGTAGGAAAGTCAAAGAATAAAATAAACGGAACTAGAAATGAGCGCAACAGGTCCACTTTAAGCTTCCCTTAGAAAGTGAGTAAAGCTTAGATAAAGAATTGCCACTTTGGTGTAATTTACATTCCTTTATTCTGCACAAGAATTGTATTGAAAAGTCTGAATTTAACATGATGACACACCTGACAGCACCTGAACAGCTCTTACTTTCCAGCTACTCACTAACTGCAACATCTGAATTCTGATTATTCAAAACATGATAAAAAAATACTGATCCCAGGACTGATCTGAATCATCTTTCCTGTAACTAAAAGTTAATTTCCTACTATTTCTCACTGTCAGTAACTGTATAAAGTACTAAATGCAGATGAAAGGCGGAAAAAAAATACACCAAAAGGGACTCATTTCCAATATGTTACCACCAACAACAAGCCCATAAACATCCTCTATGGAGACAATGGGGGAGACTTTATTAAATAAATATAGCCTGTATCGAGGTACCTCAGTGCCACAATCAAGCTAAGATCAAACATCAACTTACATGGATTTTCTAGCTTCTAAAAAGTGAAAATGTTCTTACTTCGTAAAGCTATCAAACAGAGTTCCACTAAAACACAAAACTGTTTGGGTTCTTGGAGGCAGGTATGCTGTAAATCCAGCACCAGAGTGGCACTCACCGGGCGACTCTGTGGCTGTGCATTCATTGGCTGCGTCTGGGGAGAGTACACTAAAGGTGCGGAGCCAGCATTTTGCCCAGGGTTGTATGGAGACTGTTAAAAGAAGAAATAGAAACAGAAAAAAAGAAGGCTTAATGTATACTGAGCAAAAAATGTGCAGCAATCAGTCCCTAGTCATTTAAGAGAAAGTGCACTGCAAAGGACCTAAACTATAGACAACACACTAAAACACAGCACTAAATAATTTTGGGTGTAGCTGGGAGAAAGTGTTTTCAATCAGGGTTTATGTACTGTGCAAAGATAATTGGTACCCCCAAGGACTGCAAATCCTGTGTTCCTTTATTTTTCATCTAGTGTGCAGTGGAGCTAAGCAGAGGTGGGTTTAAGCAGATCTGCGTACTCTTCTTCATCGTGCTGCTGGTGCGATGGTGATAATTTAAGTTTGTGTTGGCTGACAAAACTATTTATAGAAAGGCTGGTGACTGACTAGAGCTGCTTTAGGGTGAGGCAGTGGGCCATTAGTTTATCACAGTAAATAGGAAGAACTGGATTCCTTGCAAGCACTGTCACATTCTTCCAGAGAAGCTGAGCCACAGAGTCTACATGCTTTAAAGTGACAGCAGCAAGGCAGCAGCAGTGTCACTGTCTGATGTTGTTTATGATTAATAGACTGACCTTTCACAAAGTTACCTGTATACATCTAGGTGTTTTTCAAAATGAAAAGAGGAATCACCTGGATGCAGTACCTAACTAAAAAGCGACAAGCGTGTGAATCGTCTCATAATGCTCAACTCTGAATTATTTCTGCTTTACCCTTGTAAATTCTGTCATAGCCTCACCCAATCTCCATCAAACGGGTTAGGATTTTACTGTAGTTACAGACAGAGAAAAAAACGTCCTTGCTGGATTTCTACCCAATATTTATCCCATGCCTAAACCCAACCGTCTCAAATATAAAATCGGTCACAGTATGTCTACTGTGATCATGGCATATATGGATTCTTACACACATGCATATCTCGATTTTTGCTTTTTGTTTTCCTTCCTGTCATACAAATAGAGTACTGACCGAAGTGTCAAACGATGCGATCCACATAAGGTATGCCCTTAATCTCGCCTCACCCACCAGCTTTTTAAACCTTTTGTTTGTGTTGGGCAGCCAATTAGAATACAGCTTGCTTAAAGGGGATGGAGCTAAAACTGCTTTCAAACAAAAGGTGAATTGAGAAGCTGAACTAAGGTTCGCCATAAGATAAATCCTGTCAAATAATGCATCTACTCTACAGATAGAGCTGGAAATTAGGACAATACATCCACTTTAACAAGCCCCCAACCCCAATCAAATACTTTATAGAATTGCTTTTTATACTGCTTACTTGACCAGTGGGACAAAATGTCAAATAACTAATATTTAAGCTTCTAAACATAATTATCAGTATAAAACTGTGAATTAATCCAACATAACTTAATAATACTCTCATAATAAGGTTGAGTTTGTGTTCTAATTCTCTCACAAAGTCTTACAGGTCAAGTAAACATTCTTTCTAAGTACGCATAAGCCCTATAGGAGACTGGAAAAATCAACAGACTGGACTGTTTATCTCCCTTTTGCCAGATCCATGCTGAGGTTGCTAACTTTGAAACCCTTGTCAAGATTAAGCAGGTACTGTGTTTAGAAAACAGTGGATGGATGTTTTCCTATAGGCAGCAGTGCACAAAAACTGCTCTCTTAGATTTTGTGGCGGTGTTCATCATGTAATCATGTGAATTTCATTAAAAGAAGACACTCATGCACACATGACTTAGCGCTGCATTAGAAATGTTGTGAAATTAGAGAAGTGACAAACATGAAAATGAAGGCTGACGTAAGAAAGAAGAACAAAAGAACAAAGGGTAGGTGTAGGCAACATGACCA